GTCCAATCCTGTGGAATTAAAGAAATTCAAATTTTCTTTGCTTCAAGCATCACATGGAACCCATATTCTGATTTTTATTAGTAGGGGTAGGGATGAATAATCAGTTAGTAATTGATTATAACTGCTTAAAATATGAATCTATTAAAAAATAGATTCCATTGTTATTGTATAACAGTAAAGTTAGACTTTATGACAAATTCAGTTTGATACTTGATCATCTTTGGTCACATTTTATTTATTTTGAAGTTATATTCAGTTACTAAGACAACTGTTACAGTTTTATACAAGGACAAAAATGCTGACGTTAAAAGAAAGTTATAAAATGGCTACACTTTATTTTGTTGAAAAAAATAAAAAGGTAATTGTGAACTTAAACTCGATAATCAGGCTTGAGTGAAATGTTACATCTCTAATTAGGTGTCCAGCAGCCGTTGGAGAAACCAATTTTAATTTAGTGGACCAAGTTTGGCTAATATTGTTCGTCATCAACTAAAAGAAAAAAATTGTCACGCTGCAAAGTGGCCGATTTTGGCACAGACATTCATGACATTGCCTTGAGGTTGGTTCTATAACAGCATGTGAAGGAACAAATGCTCAAGGGGAAGTGGGCGTGGCCTATAGCAGTGTTCCCCAAAGTTGGGGTCGGGACTCAAAGTGGGGTCCTGAAAAATCAAGGTGGGGTCCTGAAAAGATTTTTGGAATTAATTACATTTTTGCCTTAGTTGTTACAAAGGAGTGAGGCTAATGTATTTAAAATGGATAAATGTAGTATAAAATATTGTTACTATTAATATTGTTTAGTTGACCTGATACAAATGTTTATCATCCAAAAATAGTTGGGGGCACAGGTCACTGCTACTGTTATTTTGTGGGTCAAAAGCTGAAAAGTTTGGGAACCACTGGCCTATAGTGTTTCAAAGAAACATTTTCACAAAATGAGACCTGTAGCCTAAACTTGAAGGACAGATTTTTGTTGTCAACACTTTGTTCATCCGGATTTTCCTGCACTTTCTGCCCTACATCAGGAGATGATTTTAGTTTAAATTGATAAAAATATTTCTTTATTTTTTAATATTTTGAATGCTCATTCATGTATTTTTTTTTCTCCAGGATATTGCGGATCCATTTTTTGCGTACTGCAAACAGCATGCCGATCGCTTCGACAGGAAGTGGAAAAGGAAGAATTATCTGGCTTTACAGTCTTACTGTAAGGTCTCCCTGCAGGAGAGAGAGAAGCAGCTGACTCCTGAAGCTCAGGTACCATTTCTTTTTGTTTTCTTTCAGGTAACCCTTTTACCATTTGTGCTAATTCTTTTTTGGCTTATGAAAACCTCACATCAGATAGAAATTTGTTTTAAACTAACATAGATAGTTTTTTGAAAGGTCACATGTTAAACATTTGTCCAACCTGCAGGCCAGAATCTCCACCCGCCTGCAGCAGTATCGAGCAAAAGCAGAGCTGTCCAGAAACACTCGACCTCAGGCCTGGGTGCCCCGCGAGAAACTGCCTCGACCTCTGACCTCGAGTGCTTCGGCCATCAGGAAGTTGATGAGGAAGGCAGAACTGATGGGCATCAGCACAGATATTTTCCCCGTGGACACATCTGATGCCAACGCCAGCATGGATGGACGCAGAAAACACAAGCAGCCTGCCCTCACAGCAGACTTTGTCAACTATTACCTCGGTGAATAAACTTTGAGCTCCATTTACCACTGAAGCATATTCATCTGAGTTTACAGCTCAAATAAAGTAAAAGCTCAACCACTGATGCTGATCTGATTGGAGTTTTAAACAGAGCCTAGGCTCTAAAAAGACATTCACTTTGTTTTTACCAGTCACAATTTTATTTTATTTTATTTTATTTTTTACATTTCTAGAACATGAAATGAGGTAATGCTTTGAGTTAACCATAACCTATTATTAAAGAAAAAAAACTGATTATAAAATGAAAAAAATCCTTACAGGCTTTTCATTGTAGTTAAGGGCAATGTTCACCATGAGCTAGACCTGGAAGTGTCTTTTTTTTAATCTCCACTCTGCATATAATTTGTTCTTTAAAACAACCCAAAGTTATTGACAATGCAGTGACTTAATTTAGATAGAATTCATTTAAAACTAATGTGCATATAAACCAGTAAAACTGACAAAAATATAAAGTAAAAAAAACATAGCCTTTAATAGTCCTTATTTAATAATTATTAATCCACTAATTAACAATGGATGCTGTTCGTAAACCTCAAATGCTAACTTTTTAATATCAAGCTTGAAAACTAAGGTTTTTAAGCACAATAATACACACACACACACACACACACACACACACACACACACACACACTGTTTCTGAAAATGTGGACAAAAAGTGAATCAAAAATAAATATGTAGTAGAAGAATACCAGCTAGACCGTAATAAGTGGGCTTCAGTCCTTTCAAATTGAAACCCATAATAAATGAATGCTATGAAAAACATTTGCTTCCTAAATAAATGCGGCTGTGCTCGTAACCTTGAGAATTAGCCTGCCACAATGTCTATCTGCCATCAGCACACTCTCTCATGTGCTTCTTTTTGTGTAAAGATTGTGATCGTGCTATTGATTTTTCGTCCCATTGTTATTCAGAGCGGAACATGCGAATGATCCAGATCCAGGACAACATCTCTGAGCAGAAGAACCTAAAAGACAAACTGGAGAGTGAGCAAGAAAAACTTCATGTGGAGTACAACAAGGTGAGCAGTGCACCTACTGTCCTCAAGTCTACATGTTTTTATTGTTCAGTCTGTTTTAAAAGACCGCAGTGCATCAAACACAAAGTCTAAAATGAACCTGGCATTACTTGAGCAAAAATGAATGAACTCATCATTTTTGGTGGTTGGACAAATCTGTAATATAGGGTTTGATGTTTGTTTTTTTCTATTAAATATTATAAATTTTTCTAAGGTGTTAAATTAGTGGCCCTTTGAGGTTGGGCACTACAGTTCTCCTTTTCAACCAAGTATTTTTACAGATTTATGTAACTAATATTTGTTGTATAAAGGTTTTTATGGTGTGGATGCACACATTTTCTTAACCAACATTACATTTCATTACTTTCACTGATATTCAGATCAAATGCTCTCCACTGTCTGCAGATAGGATCAGTGGCATTGGATCGTATTTGTCTGCCATGCAGGCATTGCATCAATCATTGTCCACCACCAAAGACAAAAGGGCAACAACTTTTGTGCTCGTGTGTGTTAGTTTTCCTGCCTCATGAACCAATGAACAGATTTAAAATAAAAACTTCCAGAAATCAATTACTGGATGTAAATCCACTATAAAACAGATGATCTTTTGGACTCAACCTAATTCAAAATGGCCACCACAGTTAATCAGTCTTAGCAGACATAATAAATGGTTATGATTCAGTCAGTTTAACAGAGCTAAAGTTTGATGGAGTAGTTATATGAAGAATTTTTCTCAGCTGATGGTTTTGATAAGAAATTATCCCAAGAATAAAAGTATAAAAAACCCTCAGTGCTCCCACAACACCTTTTCTCAGTGTCATTTTCAAATCCGGATTTCTCTTTGCCCTGTACCCTAGCCCGTCAAGTGTTAATGCTCCAGCAAAGTAACCAAAATGAAAATAGGGCTGTTATAATCCTAGCCTCCTTACCCTTTTGAAGAGGTCTGATCCTCTTCTAGCAGGGATTGGGCAAAGGTCAACCCACACTTCTAAACAGGTCACTAGTCTATTACCCCGTTATCTTATGACCACTGTCTTCTCTTGCAGAGCTGCTAACATGGCTCTGGGCTTATAGCTTTGTTCTGGAATAAAAATGTTAAGTACAGATTAAGTGCAAATCTTAAACAAAGACCAAGTATTTTATACCACATTACATCATCTCAATGAATTATCTCACTGTGCTATAAATATTAGTTATAGAAGTATTCTGGTGTTCATTTTTCCTCCAAATATATGACCTCCATCTGTCAACATGAAGAAATACAAAGACAAAGTAAAAGTCATGACAGTTAATGTTGCGTACAGCTGTGTGGTGTGTGTTATGTGTTATTAATGGAGTGTATGGTACTAACTGCATTACTTGGTTGCTTTGAAAAAAAATGGTGGTGAAATAATGGCATGCAAGTCTGGTTTTAAGCAGTTCGGCCACAAGATTAATCTTAAAGTTCCCAAATTCACATTGTTGTGCCATCTCTGTCGTTGTGTCCTTGTGAAAGACACTTCACCATGTCACTTTACAGCTTTGCCTACTGATGGTGGTCAGAGGGTTCGGTGGCGCTGGTGCATGGCAGCCCCGTCTCTGTCAGTGTGCCCCAGGGCAGCTGTGGCTACAATGTAGCTTACCACCATCAGTGTGTGAATGGGTGAATGACTGTAGTGTAAAGCACCTTGGGCTTGATAAAGGGTCTGAACTTATATAAACGTTCAGACCATTTACCATATTTTTGCAATAATGTTACAGAAAACCAATAGTGCAAATGGTTATCAAATTGTATCTACACAGATACAAGCAAGAAACATTGTAATATCTAGTCTGGTAAGCAGATTTTAATTTAAGAATGTTTAAATGTGAAATTACCATTTCTATTTTTTTCATTAGACTGAGTCATTTCTGTCACCTCTTTGTTGTGTCTTTATGAATAACACAACCTCTGGCTTTATTTTAGTGTCAGTGGCTCTTTATCAGTTCGCTTACATCATGTTGTGCTTTCTCACTTGTTGCAGCTCTGTGAGTTTTTGGAGGACCTGCTGAATGTGAATGGAACCTTGCGAAGTGAAGGCCAGGCCATGTGGACCATGCTGGGGGGCATCGTGGGCCAGGTAGTAGTCCCTCTGTCCTCATTTTCCATCATATTCAGCACACACGGATTTATTGCTGAAAATGTTTTTGGAAATTCCTTTATCTTTTTTAAAAGAAGAATTGAATTTTGATGGAGTGTTATCCATAATGCATACTACGCTCTGCAATATATTTAATCCTTTCATTTTACAATAGCTGATTGACATGTTATTTGCCTTGAAGTCAGACATAACTTCAGGTAAAAGCTGTCCTCCATGTCTGGTTTCTACAGCAACCTAATTCAAAGACGTGCCTCAATTGTCGAAGGGTTATGCAATCATTCTGATTTGCAAACTCAAAAGAAATTGAAATGCATTTTTCCTGTTGTTGGACTTGACATTGCAGAATGAGCACATACAACCCCAATTCCAATGAAGTTGGGACATTGTGTAAAACATAAATAAAAACAGAATAAAATATTTTGCTAGTCCTTTTCAACCTATATTCAATTGAATTCACTACAAAGACAAGATATTTAATGGTCAAAAGGATCAATTTTATTGGTTTTGCACAAATAAATGCCTGCAACACATTCTAAACCAGCTGATACAGGTTCATGTTTCCCTCTGTGTTCCATCAGCTTTCCTTGAACAACACTCACTTTGTGACCTGAGGACACTGATTGTTGAATCTTTTTTAGCTGAATTCTTTCATTCTTGCTTGATGAACAACTTCAGTTGCTCAACAGTCCGGGGGTCTCTGTTGCCAGGTTCTTTACACATTTTCAACAGGAGACAGGTGTGGACTGCAGGACCAGTCTAGTTCCTGCACTCGTACTCTGAAGCCACGCTGCAGGAACACAAGCAGAATGTGGCTTCCTTGGCTTTGCTGAAATCAGCAGGACGTCTCTGAAAAAGACGTGGCTTGGATGGCTGCATGTGTTGCTGCAAAACCTGGAGCAACACGGCTTACACTTCTTTTCATTGAGGTGAATGAGGACTTCCAATGAGCCACTTGACTCTAGCTGTTTTCTATTCTTTGTGCCCTTTGAGGTTAGCGGTACTCGGCAGCCCTTGAAGAATATTATCATCATATTAGGAAGCATTAAGGATAGCACAGTGGTTTGTACTGTTGCTTAGATCCACAGCAAGAAGGTTGCAAGTTTGAATCTTGGTAAGGGCCTTTCTGATGGCGAGCTAACGTTGTGTGTGTGTTTTCACAATACTCTGGTTTCCTCCCACAGTAGAAAAACATGTCACTCAGTAATGCTATAGTATTTTTATTGTAAGTCTTCTCCATAAACCCAGGACTTTTCTTCCTGCCCATTGTTCTCGTTACTTTTATTAGAAGTTAATCTTAAGAACTGCTTCCTTCATGCCTAAAAAAAAATCACATTTCCCAGTTGGGACAACAAACACTAAATAAAATACTTAAAAATAAACTTCAGTGCTGTTAAACTGAATTTGTTGTTAATGTGAAAACAAGAGTTGAACTTGCTAATTAACAAAGCAGGACAATATAGGCTGATTTAATCCTCATGTTGCTATTAGACTCAAACACTTAGGGACTGAACTGACACACATGTTTAACCAATACATTTCACTACCTAATTATTTTTTGCACAATTCTAATGAAATGAAATCAAATTTATTTATACAGCATATTAAAAAACTGTTGTTGGCCAAAGGGCTGCACTCAAAAATAGTTTTGCAACAATAGTTAATTAGAAAAAAATAAAATAAAAATACAAGAAGACACAAAACCAATAAAATTGAGAATGATTTTGAATAAGTTTTTTTATGCATCTTAATGCAGTTTAGCACCTTCTTCAGTTCTTTGTAGCACTTTTTACCTCTAAGTTTGAGAATGTCAATACATTCATGTGCTAAAATGTGTATACTTTCAAGAATAGAAAAAATAACGATGTCCTTTTAAGGCTAGTGTTTCCGTTCACAAACAGAACAAAATGTTAGGACAAACTGAGTCAACACTGCAGTAAATAAGCTGTTTTCACACAAAAAAACTAAATCTGTATACAGTATAACTTTTCAAAACCTATGAAAAACCTTTGAAGGACATTTATGCTACACATTCTTATTTGCAAATGTGTAATATCCAATTTAATAAATAGCTAAAATTCCTTATTCTTTATATAATTAATAATAAATAATTATAATCTTAAAGTATTTTCTTTAAATTCCCATCATTTCCACTCTTTTTCTATTTTCTCCCGGATGTTTTTTTTTTTTTTTTGAGGGGCCGCGGACGGTAACTCGAGAGTCGAGATTTTGTAACCCCGAGGTTATGGGCTTGGGCCAAGGTTGCGTCCAGAAGCACATCTACGATAAAACAATTGCCAAATCCTCCATGTGAGTTCACACACTGTGGTGACCCCTGCAGAAGGGAGCAGCTGAAAAAGAAACACGTATTATTTGTAACTGTTATCTGGCTCATGACCTGGACTGAGAACATCAAATGTACTACAAAAGACAGTGCAGTCACCTAAAGTTTTAGATTATGTATAAAACAGAACTTGGTCGACCCATAAACACTAAATTAAATTGGCAGCTTTTGAGAGAAGGAGCATTGTAGATAAATGGTCAAATAATTTTAAAATGGTAGCAAGACAGATAAATGGACTGGAATGTGGGAGACTAGCGCTGATTCTGCAATGGCAAGCATAAATCACCTAATTATGAACATGCACAGTATAAGCTGGAGCATCAGTCAAAGCACTGCGTGCTTTTGTGTCATCTGTCTGCTACATTTTCATGTCCTATTTGTCATCCTGCCTGTGCATTTGCAGAAATAATTGATGTCCCCTAGTGGGACCAGCATCACTCATCCAGTACCCAGTCAGGACTTTGTTCCTGGTGCTCTTAAAGTTTTAAAACACCTGCCAGCTTCACATGGACACTCTCGGACGGTAACTTCCATGTGTCACTAGAATGTATGGTAAAGATCAAACAGCTACCAGAAAGTAAAAATGAAAACAAGTATAAAATTCAGCTTTGACTTTTTATGTTCCGCCTCTTTGCTAAGAAACATAGCAAATAACTCAGGGGTAACAGAGGTGTACTTGATACCAAAACACCCTGGGCCTGAAGTCATCGATCAGTTGCAGTCTGCTGGTTACAATAAAAACAACCTGGCAACTCAGGAGCCGAAGACACGTGTTTTACAGCAGCAGTGTCTGACGCCAGATGCTCCTACAACTAGAATAGAAAATGATATGCAATTTAGGTGTATACATGTTGACTAAGGGTGTATTCACACCAGCTGTTTAGTCCACTTTAATCAAAGTCTAGTTTGTTTGCCTGGAAAGTCCGGTTCGTTTGGGGAGGTGTGAATGTGTAATCAAACTCTGATGCAAACCAAAAAGGGTGAACTCTGGTCCGCCTGAAAATGTAGGTCTCGGTTTCAGTTGAAGCGAACTCTGGTGCAGTTAGATGGCATATGTGAAAGCCAAGTGGACCGGAGACCACTCCCAAAAGCAGGAAGTGGACTATAACACAGGTCATTCTGGTTGTTTACAGGGTTTAGTTCATTTGACAAAGTGCAGTGTGATGATTGTGAACCTCACCAACTGAAAATGTAAACAAATCTTGCAACTTTGGTCCCCAATCGAAGCAAGTCTACCAGACTATCAGGTGTGAATACGACCTAAATGGGACAAAAAAGGACACCCAAAACAGCTTAATTTAATTGTTTTGCACTCCAGATTAATGTAATCAGAAAATGATTCTTTTGACTGTGTTTTATTCAGTCAAACCGTAATTGGATTAATGGACGCTCATGTATACATTCTTGTGAGGTAGTTTCCTTCAAGTCTCTGACCTCACAAACAAAAAGACATACATGTATTTACTGCATAAATATGACCGTTGCAGTCCAGACTCATTTCTATCATTCCTGTTGGGTTGTGTTGAATTGAACAATAGGGGTGCACCAAAAAATCGTTTCACACCAGAATCGTGATTGTCTTTGACAAAGATTCAGAATCAATTTCAAATGTCCAAAAATCAATTTTTATAAATAAAAACATAAAGTAAATCCACTGGTTATCAGCCTCCATTGTGTAACTACATGGGACGTCCTGACATGACCACACAGCTGGTTCTGGAACATATGAATGTGCAGAAAGCACTAAAACAAAGAGGAAACTACAAAACTGGAGGATAGAGAGCTTCAACTGGCCCTGTCCTTATTGAGTGCAAAGTTTTGGGCTTATTTTGGTTTTTACTGAATTAGTCTGAGTTTGACATGAGCGAGGTGTGTGAGGTTTGTAAAATGAAGATAAAGCACCTTGGGAACATAACAAATGGGCTCACATTATCAGTTTTGAATGAAAAATCGATTTTGAATCGAATCGTGGCCCCAAAAATCAGAATCAAATCAGTAGAGAGTAAAAGATTCTCATCCCTGTTGAACAAGTTGGTCATTTTATGAATGGTAACATGAAATCCTTTCTGTTTAATATGTAATATTTTGTGGACTAGAAAACAAAGTTGGGATCTATTCGTTGAATTTCTGAGCCTGTTAGTGATACTGAAGTTGGTTGGATTATACAAAATTTGCCCCTAGCAGAACACCCCTAAATCGTTAATAATAGTCACATTTGCTTCAGGGTAATGGCTACACACTGAGGAATTATTTATTTTATTCAATAATGAACATTAGCACAACAGTTAGAACCACAGATCTCAAACCTCCACACGTTTGTCCCTAAAACACTGTTTTAGTTCCCCTCACTCAAATATGGATTGTTCTTTGATATGATTTCAGTATTATTTATTTATGTGTTTTATTCAGTGCAAACCAGCAAAATAGCTTATTCTTGAACCCTTTATTTATTTATTTATTTATTTTATTTTTTAATAGAATTTCTGTTTCTAATGCTCATTAATGCAGAAGTGATAGTGGCATAATGAGTTTTGAAAACGCTGTCATTTGAATAAAGCTCCTTTCATGAAACACTTCAAGCCTGACTTGAGATGCCTTCTGGCCATCTCGGCATGACATCTGAAAGAACCAAGATAGCTGGGGATTGAAGTGTGCCAGCCACTGTTATGCCTCTGAGCCGCAAAGCAAGGCATTGATGGCACCACAAAGGTCAACATATAGCAGACTTGCTGCTCGATCGCGTCTTCTTTTTTTCCCTTCGTCCTGAACCGTTTTGCTGCTCAACAAATAACTTTGGGCCTCAGTAAACGGTGGATTTAGGAAAAAAAACTCGAGAGTGTTTATACTTTTGGCCCGAGAGGAGGACGAAACGGTGGATTTAAGGTCTCCCTCCTCCCCCGCATGCATTTCCTCCTCGCGACGCGGC